TTTGTGGTGTGTACTTTATCGAAAGCTTTGGCTGTGTACCCGAGTCGTTCTCTTGTAAGGTGTAGACGTCCTGGCAGTATCCTAGACCAACCCCAACCAGGAATTGCGCCAATAATATTAAATCCATGCTGCGTGGGCCATCGCGCAGTGGCTTTAGGAAAAGCGTCGTCTTATCTGCTGCATACAGCGGGGAGAATAAACGAAAACATGCTACCGCTGACACCTCCCTTCTTTCCTCTTCCCCTTCGCATACTCTCCCCCGTCTCCGTTTCTCCTAACTCACAACTTCCTACAATCCAGGTCGTCACCACCCACACGATTGTCCGCCAATGAAACTGTACACCCTGTGCAAACACTCAACATCGGATACTGGAATGTACGCACACTGCTTGACCGGAATACGAGTAAGCGACCCAAAAGACGCACTGCACTGGTCGCGATGGAACTCGCACACTACCGGATCGACGTTACCGCATTCAGGGAGACTCAGCTGGCTGACAAAGTCAAGCTGCATGAGGCTGGTGCTGGTTACACGTTCTACTGGGTGGTGAACGCCACTTCAGCACCACGTGAACATGGGTCGGATTTGCACTATCGGAACGTTTAAACGAGCACCTTGTAGCAGAACCGACTGACATCAGTCCACTACTGATGACTTGTTGCCTTCGACTTGGAAGAGGTAAGTTCGCTACTTTTATCAGCACGTGTGGTCACATCATGTGTTATCCTGATGACATGAAGGATCAGTTTTACGCTCAGTTTTCCTCCGTGCTACGGTCTTTGCCGAGGAGCGATCGACTATTCTTACTGGGTGAATCCAACGTGCGCGTTGGACCTGATGCTTCGGTGTGGACAAACATAATCGGTCCATATGGTATTGGCACAGCTAATGTAAACGGTGATCGGCTGCTCTCCCTGTGCGCCACTCCACGGTCTGACGATCACGAACACCCGCTTTCCGCTGGTTTTGCGTGAGATAGCTACTTGAACGCGTCCACGTAGTGGTCACACTCACTCGCTCGACTATGTCATCGTACGCCAGTCTGACATACGTGGAGTGCTCAGGACAGGCGTACTGCGTAGAGCTGAGTGTGGCAACAATCACAAGTTAGTGTGGAACAAATTGTACATGTATTTTCGTAAATCTATGTATTGCATCTCTGCAGTGAACCGGCGGAAGTATAACGTTCTTTCCCTAGGTATTGCTAAGAAGAGGATGAAACTGTAGAAGGTGATGGCTACCCGCCTTGTTGATGTCGAATCCATAGCCTCGGTGAGTGACCTTTGGCGCCACATCCGGGAACAGGTTGTGGTGGATTAAAGGTAGATACTACTGCGCCGGGTATAAGTAGTGTAGTGGTGCAAGATGACACACCAACAGCGAGCCCTGCCGACTTCCCCAAAGTTGAAGATGACATCAGGATTACAGTTCCATGCGCACGAGGAGTGAACACAGAGGCAAGCACCAGTTGGGGAACACTCCATGGAGATCACGAAGATGAGCAGACGCCTCCAAGGTATGGACGAACACACCTAGTGTAAGCCACTTTAGCAATAAACAAGTTACCGCCTGCCCCTTGGGTTCTAATAAGGTGACAGCTGCTGCCTAAGCCACCACAAGGCGAGCAAACTGTAAGGGCATTGGCCTCGTAGAAGAATGCAGCGCTTGTTGCACATGTGGTGAGTCCTTTGACGGCGATTAACTCGAGAGATCCGTCGCATCAAGTATTCATGGTGGACGGCGATGGGGTAGCAGACGAAATGCTAGACCGAACGCTGCCAGTGTAAGGAATTCTCTGACTCCTTGAAGGCGATATATGGACCCATGTTGCAGCCAATGAGGACGGTTCTCGAGATTAGTATGTAGATCTGGCGTAATCACTTTGATTGTCTCTTGAACAACCGTTCAGAGATTGACTTGACTGTGTTGCATGAGCTGCAACAGCCAGAGATAAAGATGTGTCTTGTCGATGCACCTACACTGCATGAGACACAGAGAGCGCTTGCTCAGCTGCGAAACGGCAAGTGCCGACAGGATCTCACCTGAAGTTTTGAAACATGACTGATACGTAGTAACGAATTCAAGCAAAGCACGCCCCCAGACCGCAGTTGGGCAAGAACAAGCCACAGTATGAAACAAAGTATGTATCGGGCGAATCAGTGCGACTTGGCTCACATGACACACGAGTTAAAGCATGAGTGAGTACCTACTGATTGTTCAATGCGAGGCAAACCAATAAGAACGCGGTGTGGCCGAGCTAACTAATCAATATCATCGATGGATGTAACATCCCCTCCTCTCTTGGATAAAGTCATACACCGGGAACGAAACGTTCAACAGGTTTAGGTACACGCTGAGATCTACGAAGTGGTGGGCAATTTGGTGTTAGCGCCGTATTGTGTGTGGTTTGTTTCACCGTCTGTTGGACTGAGTCAGATATATGTTCCTCATATTTTATGTTTCTACACAACAGCGCATGAGTGCTACCTTTAGACGTAACCAGTTAACTCTAGGTCAACCTGCGTATCATCACTTGTGATCACGGTTGTTGGCTGCCATGACTGTTCGTGGGAAAATCGTGTATACACAGGATCTCCCGGTTGGAAAACAACATCGTGAACCCTGTCCAACACAGCTGAATAGGGACTAGCGTCTACCTGCAAATTACAGGCCAGTTAGTATGATGAGCGTAGTAGTCAAACTTCTCGAGAAACTGCTGAGCGATTCATTGGAGAGTCATCTGATAAGCTTTAATATACTTAGCAATGCACAGCACGGATTTCAGAAGGGATTTTCGTGTCTGACGAATCTAGTGGTGACTCACGAAAGTTGGGCAGATGCTGTGGATAACGGCCACACATTGGACGTGCTTTTCGTCGACCTTTCCAAGGCATTTGACAAGGTACCCCATTTGAGGCTCGCGCAAAAGCTGATCTCTTACGGGGTATCTGGCGGCGCCCTTCATTGGGTGACTGCCTTCTTGGATGGTAGAGAACAGTGTGTACGGGTAGGCCGTGGACCATCCTTTTGGCACTCTGCTCTCAGTGGCGTGCGAAGGGCCCGGTGCTTGCACCGCTGCTGTTCTCTATCTACGTAAATGACCTACCCGCGGAGCTTGAGATACCATCGCTGCTATTTATTTTGACCTGAAGCTGTGGAATATTGTCGATGTTCCTGGATGTACCGAAGCTATTCAGCGAGCATTGGCTAAGCTTTGAGACTGGTCTACTTTATGGTTATTGCCCATAAATCAGGCAAACTGTTCCGTTCTTCGAATTGGTGGAGGTTGTCCTCCTGCGAAATACTTGGTCAGTGGGATCGAACACCCCCCGTTTATCTAGTCAGGTTGACCTAGGAGTCGTACACTCTTCGACTTTACACTCCGGCGACAACTGGAAGAAGGCTGCAATCAGAGGTTTCCGCATATTTTGGTTAATACGCAGTTTTTTTCGGGATTTTGACAGGCCGCATCTTTGCGAGACTGTTCTCGGCTTTCGTTCGGCCTCATCTGGAATACTGCGTCTAGGCTTGTCCGCCCTGCCTCGTCCGGGAAATAATGGAGCTAGAGAGGATTTTACGAGTGGTTACTAGGTTAGTTGTGGGATTACGGGGACAGACGTACCCCTAGCGTCTACTTAGCTTGGGAATGCCTTCAATGTACTACCGAAGGCTTGGCGGAGACCTAATCCTAACCTACCGTATCTTAACTGTGAAGGTTGGTCTGGATGTGTTGGCTATTCAGTCCCTCTAGATTGTCTGTTCTACGCGGTCATTCCATGAAGCTGGACAAACTGCGGTCCGATCGAATTAAGGCGGAAATCCGACTGTCACGCCAAGTCATCGAACGCTGGAACATGATTCTGGAAAGTGTTATCAGGGAATCTACGGTTAAGGGGTTTGAGCAGCAATTTGACGCTCTTGCGTGGTAACACGAAACCTTTCCCTTCTCTTGAGTAACTTGCATCTTCATAGTCTGATTTTCTTTTATCTACTTTTTTATGCATTGGTATTATCCTGTTATTTCAACTGAACTTCCTTCTTCTGTACCTTCGACTTCTCGTCCTATCCTTTGCTTGCCTCACGTGACTGCCACAGTAGGGACCGCTAGGGCATTAACCGGTTGGTCAGGGTGCGCAACAAGTGTTCCGTTTTAGATCCATCAAGAACTCTGAGCACTTCGGTAATTCCTGGCTCGACGATCCATTCAAGATGGAACACTCACCGGATTCTCCTATCGTTCCAGTTCCACCCGAACTTCAACTTGCAATATAGTTTCAACTTTTCCGTCTTTATCTTTGATCATCAAAGCCGATATTTTTGACGGCCTCAAATTCGGGCTCTTCTGAGGGACAAAGACTTTGTCTCAAAGATGAGTGCCAAGGAGATGAGTATGTGGTAGACATTCGTGGCAGTTATACGTAACTTTGGCTTGCGCAACAAATCGCCGATTTATGTGGAACCGGTTAACGGAATGTTGTTGGCATTTCGCGGTCTTTGGTGCAATACGAACATCAAGTTGAGTTCCCAAGTCAGTCAGATTGATCGGTTCCCCGTTACTATCGGGGCAGTAAGTGACTAACAAGGGAAAATTTTCATCAATATTTGATGACGATGGAAGAAGTTGTCAGGGAAGGTGGGACAAACATATGATGACCGACGATGGTTGGAGCATCAAACCTGACTGCCTGAGTGAAATTACGTTGACGCAAGATTTACAAACGCAATTTTTCGCCCATTTAATGCCTGTAATGTATCAAGCTTTGTGCTTATGCCCTGCCCAATAAAAAGTTACTGCAGATTGTTTCGTTTTACCTCAATTAATACTGAGCAATGTTTTGTTTTTTAACTTTTTATAGTCGCTTTTTGAAAAGTCCGTACCCTACGGAGAAAAAGAAAAGTGATATTTAAATTCAGCATGCTCATATTACATAAGATGCACTGTTCGTTACCTTGCAACAAAATTGTTTTTGTGCGGTGTAATCAATCTTACTTTTTGTTAGATTTGTGGCACAGAACTGCAAAGGCGGTGATTACACAGCGTGTTTTGGTCGGAGACGAGGCGGACTCCTATGTCAGCAAGCTCTGTGGACTTTGATAGCCTCTTACTGACAAAGTTGCTTGACACGTTCAGTGACCGCATACACACCAAAACCTTTGCCAATTTACAAGTAAGTGTTATTTTGAAGATTGAAAGCTTCCAACTTCTAACAAGAGACAGACGGATGGCGATGTCGAGCAAATTAACCAAGCTGTTGAACGCTTCCTCGCGGAGGGAAATGAATTACAACATTGGGCCTCAAGCATTTTACAAGCCAGCACTACCGCCCACCAACTCAAAAGAATGGTTTTGAACCGAAACTGGAATAGAGAATTCTATGAACCCAACACAGCACGAATTCATAAGTGTGTGGAAGAAAGTTTTCGAGAACGCCATAAAAAGCTGGAACAATTATTCGCGGACTATCTCACTCATCGGGATACTAAAGTAAGTAAACTGCTGAAAATCACTTACCCTGTTCTCAATTCCTTTTGGAAAGCACCATCTTACGCATGAAAGCAGCTGCTGCTCTACATAGTTTCATCTGCTTATGTTACCGTGAATGGCCGCAGTATACATGTGTTTACAGAAAAAGCGTAATGGCAGTTTGTTTCCCTACGCAAGCTTTGATACACATAGTCCAACTTGGGGACAAATTGAAAGAAGACGGGGACCGCTGGTGGCTTTGAGTCGGCTTAACGACCATGCAAGACGCATCACTGATGAGTGCGCTCGTGCCAAACATGCTTGATAATGTTCATGTCCTAATTTGACTCACACTATGAAGGCAAGCAGCTGCAAAGCATGAGTGACTTACGCCGCAACTCATACAGCCCATCTACAGTGTAAAACCAAAAAGAAAGCGAGGTCTTTGGGTAGGAGATATGCCCGATCCACATTCCCCCCACACTTCTACAACATGCACCTCATTGATTAACATTAGAGAAGAACGGGTTCACCGTACGTGCAATTGGTGCTGGTTGAAATGTTGCCTGCTGCTTGACTGAGTTACGTCTATTCCTAGCGCAGTAACGAAGACGGTGCATGCCAGAAACGAATGGCGGCCCCTTGGAGTTAATAATAGAGGTGGCACCAGTTGAGGAGTCTTCAGGTTGTTGACACTTGTCGCCTGTTGATTACTGCCAAGCTGGACCTATAACCATGGGGAAAAGTTCCCCCACGTGCCAACCATACAAGTATAATTTTATTTGATTCATCACATTTAGATTACAAGGCACATGGTAAAGCTACCAATCCGGAAAACCACCAGACAATCGTTTCGTCCATTTGGGACTCTTCAGTAGTGCGCATCCCTTCGCACCCAACAAGCGGTCAAATCCAAGAGGGGTAGTGGCATGCACCAATAGCCAGTAGCTAATGCCACCGACATGGGAGACAACAGCCGACCACCACGGATTGAAAACTAAATGCGATATTGTCCGAACAATTACTCTATACCCTGAACGGAGCGGAAAGCTAGCACATGCGCATTATTACACACAAACCGAGCACACTCACAAGAGTTGAAATACAAACGTAATAGTCCAATTGGAAAGGAAAGGAAAAATACCAATGCGTTGTGCCTCTGACAGTCGATGTATGGAGTTAATCGCAGAAGCCTTGTCCCTTTTACTCTGTTACTCGGGGACCAAGAGTCACGTGTTCGGGTGAGAGGAGGACGCACTAAATTGCCAATTGTCCAATAGTAGATGTTGGTATATCTCAAAAGGTCTCACCCGGTCACACGGGTGTTAACGATTGGAGTGATGCCATATGAATGTGTTTGGGTACAGGTGTAGTTGCCAGTCTCATCCATCATGAAAACGCTGGATGGGCGCAGATGGTTGAGATGAAGTCAACTACGGCACGTCACAGGGTAAGCTCACCGATCGATACATACCCTGTTTCCGACTGGTTCAAACGGATGCAAGCGTGCGAAATCAAGACGGCAGTGCATTATTACCGGCTACTGCGGTAGAATTGTGGTGGCGCTTGGACAGGCCTAACTGACCTGAGCAAGGAGTGTTCAACAGCTGCTTAGTGTTATCCCAACTAATGACAAAAATGTTATTGGCGACGCTATTGTAGACTGGAAGTTAGCTTTCAACAACCAACCTTAGTAAAATAGCCATTCTTTACAAGCAGGCCATGCACATATGAAACGTAACACTTTGAGAAAACAGTCATTCAAAGCTATGCCGCCTGAAGACTACTAGCTGCCACATAGCCTATTCTCCCGTCAGAGACTTGTGCATACATTCCAGCATACTCACTGATGAAGAAATATTCCATTACTGATGATTCGTAGAGAGGATTTAGGTATAATTCAACTAATTCATCATCGTCACTCCCAATCTTCAGGCTACGGCCAGAATGGAAAAGCACTAGACCCCCGGCGTTTCCACCTTCGGGGTCTCCTCAGTGGTGCGCCTTCAGCGGACCCCTGCCGGGTTCTTTCCCAATGACTTCAGGATGCCGGCCACTAGTAGCACTTCGCCATGGGTGACAGCCACGAAGCTGCTTGATGGACAATTGAATATGACCTAGCCCTGCTCATCTTCCATTGTCATGCCAGTTCGGAACTCTGCAGAGGACAATGGCTAGTATTATGAGCTAGGAATTTCCTCATAGCGCCTATGTACGACATAAGAATTAGAAGCAATACGGACAGATTTTATGATACTGATGTGTAGTAGTGGAGATTTTGGTATAATTCAAACAAATCATTGAATATGATAAAGCGCGGCACATCTTCCACTGCCATGCCAGATACGAACTGTGCAGAGGATAATGGCTAGCCTCACGAGCTAGGAATCTCCGCATAGCGCCTATAAACGATATAGGACTTAGAAGCCATGCAGACAGATTTACCATTACTGATGAGTAGTGGTGAGGGTTTGGTATAAATCCGCTAATTCAGCATCGTAACTCCCAATCATCAGGCTTAGTCTAGTCTGGAAAAGCTCCAGACGACGGCGTTTCGATCTTCTGGGTCTCGCTAGTGCTGCGCATCCCAGCGGACCCCTGGCGGGTTCCGCCCCAATGCCTTCAGGATGCCAGCAGCTTGTGCTATTTTAAGTATACCCAAATAATCGCTACTATTCTTCAGTATTATAAAATCGGTCCGTATAGCTTCTACCTTCTATGCCGTACATAGGCGCTACGCAGAAAATCCTAGCGCGTGAGGCTGGCTCAGTTCCTCTGCAAAGTTGGTAACTGGCATGCCAGAGGAAGACGAGACGGGCTATATCATATTCAACTGTCAATCACGCAGCTCCGTGGCTGTCCCTCATGGCGAAGTGGCAATAGCTGCTGACATCCTGAAGTCATGGGGGCGGCACCCGGCAGGGGTCCGCTGAGAGGCACACCACTGATGAAACTCAGAATGTCGAAACGCCTGCCTCCGGTGCTAATCCAGACAAGCATAAGCCTGATGATTGGGAGTGACGTTGAATTAGCGGAATATCCAATTAGCATGGAAATGAGAAGCTGCGTTTCTATCCAATATCTAATTCTCGCGCATACGGAGATTCAGGTATTCCACAAAGCGCGAAGTTCATTGACTCACCAAACTGATTGACAAATTGTGGGACCACAGCACACACACATGTGGATTCTCACCCATACTGTCCACCACAAAACCAGTTATCCCTGTGGTGACTTATCTGACACATATTGCTGCAAACTCCGAATATCAACCACAAAAGGATGGATAAGCCACGATTTCACGGTCTGTATTCTTATTGAAAAATCGTTAGACCATCTTTCTTTCTCCTGTATGTGACCGGTATGCTATTGTTTAGAAGCACTCATCGCACACCGGAGTCTGTACGCGATGAACATCATTATCATCATCATTATACACGTTAGCTAGAGGTTTAAAATATCTCAGCTATTGTGCTGCAATACACAAAAGAAAAAGAATTGCGATACAATGGTTGCATGCCAGCTGAGTTATCTGCAACGGATGGGCGTCGTTCCATGAAGCTACCAGCCGACTACTAGGCAACAAGCGAAATTCTTATGTAAAAGTATATTAAGCTACGAAATGAGATCGTGGTTAGAGGAGGAGGCTAATAGGGAGTGAGAGGGACAAAGAAAATCGCAGCAGGAACGCCAATGAGGTCGCTTCATGGCCATGTCAGCAATATATCTAGCCAAAAGTGTTTATCATCTTTGGGCCCCAACCAGGGAGCCGAGACGCTCCCACCGAGGCCAACTCCGAAGTGATGGCCTTCATTCCTCTCAACCAAGTTATCGCTTGGCCACCCCTCCACTTCTTTCATCCACATCCCCGGTGAGCAAACAACGCACGTCGCGGGAGTCGGTGGGCTGGAATGAGCAATACCTGGCCCAGCCATCGAAGCCTGGTGCGTGAAATGACGGCAATGAGCGGTTCCGTTCCTTTTGCTGTGCCATAAACAAGGCGTCGAACACGCTCGCTGCTCACGCGGTGTTCCCACCAGATGTGAGCCAAACTGCGAAGGCACCGGTGGTCGAACCTAACTAGCCTATCTATGCCAGCTGATCTCAGTAGCCAGGTTTCGCATCTGTACAGTAAGAGCGAACGTACCGCCGCATTGTACGATCTACCCTTCAGGGCGAGAGTGATGTCGCGCCGCCGCCAAAGGTGGCGAAGACTAGCAAAATCACTTCGAGCTCTTGAAATTCAGTTCGTGATCTCTTCTACGCAATAAACAAGGTAAGAATACAAAACCGCATAGCCTATTCTCACACCACCATATCGTTCACATCCTCACCGTATTCCTTAGGCATAACCATGAAATACAATTATTGGCACTATGAACCAAGTAGCATAGGGGTGGTCAGTCTAAGCGCTGTCGAATGTTTTTTGCTCGACGCACCTTTGGCACCATTTGTGCGTGCACCAATTTAGTCCAGAAATCAATGATAGCTGTGAAAACGTATACTAACATAAACAGCAAAATCGGTGATATGTAAGTCAACGAAGAAGATACTCAACGTGCCCGTCGGCATTATGCTTGCAGTGCGTAAGTCGCCTGAGGCGATAAGTTATAAATTTTTGCATTTTCCGTGTCAATGGCACGACATTCGTTGACAATACTGCATTTCATTAATTCCAGTGGAATGGGCGTTGTTTTGTAAACTATTATTTCAAATAACTCCATAGAAAGAAATGTAAGAGGTTCAAATCTGTTGACCGGACAGGCCGATCCTTTGGACCTCCGCGACCAATCCATCAGCGACCGAACATCTCGTTAAGATAATCCCGCACCGTTTGTGCATAATAAGCAGGTGTGCGATATTGAAGGTATAACGGCTGAAGCAAAGTGCCGAAGTCACCAACGAGATTCAGTGGTGAAAATATCTCTATCTAGTAGCTCCTACGTCAATTGCCAGTGACAGTTCTTTTACCATGTGCGAACCATGATTGACGGAGAAATGGCAGATATCATAATTGAGTT